GCCCCTAGGGCAGTGGTTGGCAAATTTCGCCTCTCGAGCCACATGCAGCTCTGTTGACTACTGGTCATGCGGTCTAGACCCCCTGACTTCTCCATAAAGAAGGAGAATATACTCGGCTTCAGTTGTTTTTCAGCTCCAGGCCCAGAAAAGCAGCAAAACCAGACAAGTTGCACAATGGCTGCCTCTGAACCAGGTGTATTAACTGATGACCTTGGCCTGTGAGGACCAATCAGTGGAGACCGTGACCCTGAAAGCACACACTTGGAAAGCTGATGAATATTCTATTGAGACCTCCCCTGACACCTCCCTTAAGACTTCCACCAGCGAAAGAGAGAAATAAGCTCAAGATGAAGGACCCAGGGTGGGGAACATCAGATCCCCGGGCCCGCGGGCCACATAAGGCTTCAGAAATTATTGGGTCTGGCCCTGCCGAGGCATTGGGGGTGAGTTAATTACATGTTTGACCAAATACAGCAGGCTAGTTTTTAGGCTGATAATGTTGTAGGGCCAATGAATGATGTTATAAATATCCAAATGGCCCTTGGCAGAAAAAAAGGTTCCCCACCTGTTATGCCCTTCCTTGTTTCACTGCCCTAAGCATATTTTTTGCGGCAGCCAATAAATTCTGGCTTGCTTGGCTGCACTTTGTCTTCGGACTGAAATCTTTCCTTCAAGAAGGCAAGAACTGAGGTCTCCTCGTCTCCCCAGGAACACCCTGACATTTACACATTCAAAATACAAAAGTCTCCTTCCGACATCCAGGAGGTGCACAGCTCCCTTTTACCGCCTTCCGCAATGGCTCCTATTCTTTTACACGCCCATTCCTTCAATAAATAAGTGAAGAGCCCAGTCTGTTCATGTGCTAGACCTTGGTCATGTTGAAGGAGATCCTCCCCTCCCAGAACGCATATCCTAACAGAGAAAGCAGACACTAATTATTTAATTGCTTAACAAATCTGTGGTAACACAGCAGAGAACACAGGGTTAAGAGAGTATCTGACACCGAACCCATCCATGCTTTCTTCTGTACTGAAAATGAATTGTCTTCCAGCTCCAGATTCCAGAAACCCAATGACTGCTCAGCGTGTACACACCTCTCGGCAGTTATTCTGAGTAACTGCCAGGTTTCCAGCTGCAGCTCTCAGATGTACCTCCAGGGAAGATACATTAAACTAGCCTAAAAGTAATTTTTCCACCAGCTGCTTTTATAGTATCCATTTTTCTCTACATCTCTTTGCTCTGATATACAGGGTCACATCAGGGAATAAAAATCTCTTTTGAATATTTTAAGTCTTGACCCATTTATGGGTAAAGCTGTTTTCATTCAGCAAGCACTCATGAATGACTATCAAAGACCACACAATGCGAACGTGTGATCTTCAGGAATTAAAGATCTCTAGGTGTGATTCACATTCCACCACACATGTCTCCTTGGGACACCCTTGGATTCATACTTTTTAAAATGAGCATATTGATAGTACTGTCCTAGCCAGTTTGGCTCAGTGGGTAGAGCCTCGGCCTGTGGACTGAAGAGTCCCAGGTTCAATTCCAGTCAAGGGCATATGCCCCGGTTGCCAGCTCAATCCCCAGTGGGGGACCTGCAGGAGGCAGCCCACCAATAATTCCCTCCCATCATTTATATTTCTCTCTCTCTCTTTCTCTCCTTTCCTCTCTGAAACCAATAAAAATATACTTAAAGATGAAATAAAATGATCATAGTACTGAATAAAGAACCCTCCACTAGAAGAAATAAATTTATGCTCTCCCCCTTTTTATAAAAGAAGCCTCATTATAAATAACACTAGCAAACTACATTTTAGTAAACATTGGATGCTTGCTTAATTGACCTTTGTTTTCCAAGATGACAGGAAATCTGCTGTCAGACTCCGGAAGTGACTCAGATAAGGGAAGGGGAGAAATAGGATCAGAGGAGCACACTAAATTTTTCTGTAAATGAGGACCCTACTTAGTGAAAAATATCAATCTAGAGAAGACTGCTTATAAGAAGAGAGTCCCTGTACAGACATTGCTGCAAGTGAGACAGCTCTCCTATGGGCACTGACCCAGAAAGATAGATCCTGGTAAAGAAGAAAAAGTTTCATAGGTCAATATTTACAATGAAAAACAGATAACAGAAAGGGAGTACAGCTTAAAGGAAACAGGAGGTTACCGGGTTAATAACACCCATTAATGAAAATTGGAAAGCCCTGGCCTGGCTTTCCACGGCTCTGGAACTTCTTTTTACTTAAAACTGTAAGACAAGTCAGCAGCACCGAAGTTCAAATGGCAATGGCACTATATTGCTTGAAGACCGAGGAACATACCATGTGACCTTCTGAGATCCCTGACAGTATTCCCAATTCCAGTTAGACATAATCCACTGTGACTTTTTCAATTACTCATTCATTCCACAAAGGTTTACTGGGTGCCTAGTAAGCACGGTGGCACGGTGGTCCCTAAGACAAGTCTACCTACTTGGGCATTACATTCTAATGGGGAGATACACCAAAGAGCTAATTCCCTAAAGAAGCAGAGGGTATTGAGCACAGTTAAGGGGAAAGCAATAATTAGGGAATGCTTCTCTGAAAAATTAACATTTAAGATATGAAGATGAGCACAAATAGGGCAGGAAGCTACATTCCTGGCAGACATAACAACATTAAAGACCTGGGGAAAAGGTGTGTGTGGGGAGGGAAGGGGGGCAGGGAGGCTCTGCTAAGGCTGGGAGGGGCAATGAGTGGCATGATGTGAAGCTGGACATACACTATTCAGAGCCATGGAGCTCATGTTATGGATTTTTGGACTTCATTCCAAAAGCAATGGGAAGACAGTTGAAGGGTTTTAAGCAAAGAAATGCTGTGACTAAATGCCTTTAAAAAAAAAAAAAAAAAAAAAAAAAAAAGACCACTATGAAACAGAAAAAGAATTGGAAGGATAAAGTGAATATAGGTGGGCAACAAAATAAAGTAGTATTGGATTATAACACAAAGTATAAATTAAATACCCATGAACTCCCACTGATATGATTAAATAAATAAATATGCATAGGGAAGACAAATCCTCCATGCACAATTCCAAATAGTTTTCTCTGCCCTCAAGGGGTAGAACATAACTCTCCATTCCTGGAGACTGTGGGCTGTGCACAGAAACGCCCTTCCAAAGACAGTCACGTTAGGAGGAGAAACCTAACAAACACTGCCTAAGCCAGGTGATTAGCGTCAGTATCAACGGGGATAAGTCATGTTGGTAGCATGTACTTTTTAAACTTATTTATTTTAGAGAGAGGGAAGGAGGAAGTGAGGGAGAGGGTTGGAAGAGAGGGGGAGGAGAAGGAAGAAGGGGGGAAGGGAGGAGAGGGAGGGAAGGAGGAAGGGGAGAAGAGAGAGAGACAGACAGACAGACAGACAGACAGACAGGCATGGACTTGTTCCACTTATTTATGCCTTCACTAGTTAATTCTTATAGTTTGTGCCCTGACCAGGGATTGAGCCCACAACCTTGACATATCTGGACAACACCCTAAATGAACTATCCAGCCGAGGCTAACAGCATATCCTCTTCATAAGATACAATGAGCCATCCTCCCAAAAACTCATAACCCTCATCTAATCATGAGAAAAACATCAGGCAAGTCCCAACTGAGGAGATTCTACAAAACACCTGACCAGAGCTTCTCAAAAACTAGCAAGGTTGTGAAAAACAAAAAGTCTGAGAAATTGTGTATAGCCAAGAGGAGCCTGAGGAGGCATGATGCTTAAATGTAATGTGGTGTCCTGGATGAGATCCTGGGAGAGACACACACACACACACACACACACACACACACGAAGGGCATTAGGTTAAAAAGCTAAGGCAATCTGAATAAAGCGTGGGCTTCAGTTAATAATGTATAAATATTGGTTTATTAATTGTGACAAATGTACCATACCAACAACGTAAAATGTTAGCAATAAGGAAAACTGGGTGTAGAATATACAGAAACTCTGTACTATCTTCACAATTTTTCTGAAAAAATCTATAGTAAAATATTCTAAAATAAAAACATTACTACTAAACAAACAAACAAACATATAAAGTGTTTGTGGGGAGGGTGGTAATGAAACTAGTCTTCCAGGTTAGGCTGAAAAAAAAAAGAAAATGCAAGAATATCTGGTGATTCACCGGCTAGTGGGTGGGGTAGAGGAACCGGGATGAAAGGTTCACGCCTGGACATCGTGACGGACAGAGGAGCTATTCACTGGGAAAGGAGCAATGACCATGAACCAGATGTGGAGGGGAAACTAAGCATCTACTCGAGGCCCACTAGGTGCCAGGAGCTTTTCAAATTCTTACAATCATTCTGCACGGCAGGCACATCATTTGGCCCAAAGCCAAATCAATGGATGGCCGTGGATCTGGGTACCAGGTTCGGTTTCGGGTGTACAGGTTACTCCAAAGCCCGCGCTCTTCCCATCCAGTTCCTTCCGCGGTGCCTTTTCTCCCTCCGCAGCCCTGGCGCCACCAGCCTCTGCAGCCGGGCCTCAGCCGTCCGTCCCTCCCTCCTCCCCTCCCTCCCTCCCCGGGCCTATCTGCCCAGGGATCATCTCCATCTCTGAAGTTGTATCCAAGCAAAGGCGGGGAGATACGTCATTAAAAAGAAGACAATCAAGAACCTTAGATCCCATCCCTTCTCGGGGGGAGGCGCTAAGAAATAATGATGATGAAGTAACGAAGCGAAGGGGATTCTCTGGTTCTCCCCTCGCCGAGCGGTCCCCGAAGGCGAGGGCGATCCGGGAGGGTGCCGGGGTCGGGGCGGCGAGCCTAGGGTGGCCCCTCGCACGCCGAACCCAAGGCCCCAGGACTCCACGAGACCCCCCCACCCCCGCCCCGGAGAAACGCCGGCCGGCCAGCCCGCCCTGGGCCACGCGGCGCAAGGTGACACGGACCGCGCCGGTCCTCCGCCGCCCGGGAGAGGCCGGCACCGGGAGGCACCGGGGTGCCCGCGGGGCCCGCCGCGCTACCTTGTACTTGTCAAAGCCAGCCAGCTGCTCCGCGCTCACGTACTCGTAACCAGCCATGGTGACCCGGACACCGAGCGGCCACTCTCCCCAACGCAGCAGCGCGCAAGCACCAGCCCCGGCGCGGCAGGGATGGGGCGAGCTGGGCTGGGAATATTGGTAAAAGGAGAGCCGAGCTCCGCCCACCACGCATGCGTGTCCGCCCCGGCCACTCTGCCACCTCCCGGCGCGCAAGCGCAGTCCTCACGTCTCTCCCCGCCCACCGAGGGGGAGGCGGCTAGCCGGCTCACGCGGTCCGCCCCTCACACCGGGAAGATCCAATCAGCGTGAAGAGCGTAACGCGAAACCCCGCCTACCAGATCTCCTCATCACTTCATTGGCTAGCGTCAAAATTGGTGAGTGGAGGCGAGAGGGGAGGTGAAAGGTCACTTCCCAAGGGGCTTTGCCCCTCGCCCGTGGCTAAGGGCAGCGATGGTGGTCCCCAGCCGCTGCCTTTTTAGTCTTGCGGATGGAGGGAATGCATGCGAGCTGGTTCAGCAGTATCTCAGGGAAGAGGGTTTTGTTCCCTCAAGTCGTAAAAGAGCAGAAGTAAAAACCAGAAAAAGGATGGTGCCTGGCGTGCTTGCAGCTCCTGGCATTTGGGAGGGGATTGGGGAGGGAAGGGATGACTTGACATGGAGAAGCCGGTGGCAGGCTTCTTGCAGACGGTAAAGGGGCGTGAAAGCACTGGAGACAAAGCCCGCAGGTCAGCGTTCTGAACCTTGGACCTCCTCAGAAAGGTAATGTCTCCCAACCAGAAAGAAAGCACTGCCGAGTCTCTAGGGCTCCTCAAGAACGCTTGAAAGAAGTGTTGTTTGCATCACTGGAGCCAGTGAATTATAGAAAGAAAACTAGATCGATGGCTAGTGCACCAATCTCATAACACTGAAGATAGTAATACAATCACAATTCAGATGACCTAACCCAGGATTATTACAGGTATACCTCTCTTTTCAAAAGTTCCAATTAGTACGTTTTACTTTTAGGAAAGGCCTACAATAGTCCAGCAGGTCCTCAAATAATACCGTTTTCATTCATTGTGCTTAGTTATAACTGGACAAAAAAGGCCGATGCTCGATAGTGGATACACTGAATCTAATCAGCTAAAAAACAAACAGGCAATTTTTAATTTTTAAGACCCCATCTCTTGTATAAGTGCTTTAAATGTTATATGTGCTAGAAGTAAAACTTTTCTTTTAGAAATGAAGGCCTAAATGTACATTAGAAGAGGTAATTATCTCATGAAAGAAGACACAGTTGTGGCTGGGGTCCTGGCAGCCACGCCAATGCTGCCACTGCCCCAGTTCTGAGGAGGAGTTGCCCACAAAAGGTGACCAAAAAGACAGGGGAGGAGCTGGAAGAGAATGACAGGGAACTACATGAGCATGGAGTCTGGCAGAGATGTTCCCAGAGAGAGCCAGGTTCAAGGCCAGAGCTACTTTTGACTTCTCCTTCCTTGTGGCTTAAAAAATGCATAGCCTGCCCGCTGGTGTTGTTCAGTAGTTGAGCGTTGACCTATGAACCATAAGGTCACGGTTTGATTCCCAGTCAGGGTACATGCAAGGGTTGCAGGCTCAATCCCCAGTGTGGGACATGCAGGAGGCAGCCAATCAATGATTCTCTCATCATTGTTTCCCTCCTTTCCTCTCTGAAATATATATATATATATATATATATATATATATATATATATTTTTTTTTTTTTTATTTTATTTTTTTTTTTTTTTAATGCACAGTTTTCAGAAGACACCCCCCGCCCCCTCAGTCTCCCTTTACAGGGTAGAAACTATTGCCATTGGGAGAATCTTACCCCAACCATTAACAACAGTTTGGTTTTTATGTTAATGGAGATGTTGGGGAGGGACATGCACATGATGTGAAACTGAGCAAACGCAGGGCAGCTTTAGGTAAAGCAGCCAGGGTGCATGCCCGTGTGTGCTGGAGAGGACGAGGGGGCCCACAGCAGTGCCAACCACAGGGTGGGACTGTGGGGAACAGGGCAGGAGCATTTTGACTGTTAGACCTGTGTATGTGCTAAAGGTGGCTAAATAAAAACAATAGGAAAAATAATCAGCACTCACTTTTTTGTTTGTAAATATTAAAATGACTCAAACTAGGAAAAAAGAAGGTATCTAAAGAGTATAATATACATATTATAATATAATAGACATTGTATATTGTATCCAGAGTTATCTTTTTATTTATTTATTTTAATTTTAAATAAATCTTTATTGTTCATAATATTACAAATGTTCCTCATTTTTTTCCCTCCATTGCTCCCCTCCACCAGGTTCCCACCCCACCCCCTGCCCTTTCCACACACCCCATTGACCTCATCTATGTTCAGTCCAGAAAGCTATCTTTTAATAGGAAGAGACATAAGGATGAATCAGTGCTCTCCTAACAGTCAACACCAAAAAAGGGTCTCTGTCCCCTCTGTTCATTGCCATCATCATCATTATCCACTTTAACATATAGAAAGTAATACACTGTATCCATAAAGCACCACTAAGATTAACAGATGTTATTCTTTTGCCATTGTGCTTCAGAGTTGTTTTTTTTATGCTTCAGCTAAAGTTCCAGCTCTTCATCCTCTTTTCCCTTTTGTCCCCCAACTTAACACTGTCTTGTAGTTATTGTTTATTGTTCTTTTCATATTTTTTACTTTTATTACATATGTTCATATCCAGATGCAATATAGTATTATCTTGTGCTTGTGTGTGTGCGCGCACACGCTTAAATAGTATCCCACTGTTCCTAAACTCTTGCAACATTTTTTACAGTTAACATTGTTTTAGGTTGATCCATGTCGATACATATAGATCTAGTTCTTTCATTTTATGTTAATTTCTGGGTGGTTTTAAAGTATGGTAGTTCATTGTAAAACTCTCTACAGTGTGTTTATCCATTCTACTACTGATGAACAATAATGTCATTTCCAATTCTTGGACCATTCTTTAATAAATTTCCTTTCTAAAAATTTTTTAAAATTCACACTCTCTCAAGAAAAAAAATCTGAGGAACTAAATTCAAGGGGGTGGGGGGACTTTCTTGTATATTTCTTTTGTGTGTTTGAGAACAATATGAAAAGTTGTGCTCGTTTCATTTTTAAAAATAAGGACAGGGAACATAACACCTTTTAAGTAACAGTCAGAAGGAAAGTATGTATGTAAATTGGTTTGTTTTATGACCAAAAAGGGAGCCAGCCGTGCGTTTCTCAGTTACACATTTTTCAATTGTTCTTTTTTTTTTTTTCAACAAGCCTGCATTGCTGTGATAACTTAAAATCAAAGCCATTTTTATTTTTTATAAGTTGTTTATTTGCTTGGTTTTATATATTTTTTTAAAATATATTTTATTGATTTTTTACAGAGAGGAAGGAAGAGAGATAAAGAGCTAGAAACGTCAATGAGAGAGAAATATCGACCAGCTGCCTCTTGCACACCCCCTACCGGGGATGTGCCCGCAACCAATGTGCATGCCCTTGACTGGAATCGAACCTGGGACCTTTCAGTCTGCAGACCGATGCTCTACCACTGAGCCAAACCGGTTTCGGCTGGTTTTATATTTTTAATGTAGATATTCTGTGTTGCCCAAATTCACTGGGATCTTAATTGAATGCAAACTCCTCTTTGGGCAGATTTATTTTTTAGTTTTGAAATAAAGGTCCAAACTAATTCTATCCCAGAGTTAAAGAGAGAGGATGGTATCCACACTCATTTTTATTATGTCATCAATTCACTTCCTGTTGGCAATTGTAACTCATCAAATGGCTTCTAGCTATCTCATCACACCAGTTAGATTTGAGGAGGCCGGATTTTATCCTGAGTGTAAAGGATATTTTAAAAAGGAATAACATGAGTGTCCTAAGAATATTTGAGAATATTCTTAGCTCTTCTATAATGCATTTAAAGAAGTGTTTTTCAAAAGCATGTACTAACTAATGATGATTATACGAATGCTACCCGGTTGGAATAAAAAAACAGGCCAGCATGGCTCAGTGGTTGAGCCTCGATCTATGAACAAGGAGGTCATGACTTGATTCCTGTTAGGGCACATCCCTAGGTGGTGACTTGATCCCCAGTAGGGGACATGTCTCCAGCAGATGATGGATGGTTCTCATCATTGATGTTTCTCCTTCTCTTTCTCCCTCCCTCTTCCTCTCTGAAATCAATAAAATATATTTTTTTAAAACGTTTTGTATGAAAAATCATAAAACCACATTAATGAATGATCAGAAACAATTGTTTAGCTTTTAGCAAATGTCATCTTTAATGTCAACAGCTCACAACTTATTACCAGGTGGGAACGTCTGAAATATCTAATCATAGAAATAGTTTGCAAAGTTTCACTTTGGAGGGATGCCCATGTAGTCAAGCACTGTATGGCCCAGGAACACATCTCCTAGAGCCCATGTCTTAGGTTGCTGAGCTGGACAAAGAGCCCTAACCACTCCTCTGATTCTTATGGTCTTATGTTAAAGGTGAGCACAGAAGTGAGACCATTTCTTTTTTCAAAACTAAAGCTGAATTCAACTTAGAATAGAATGTGGCCAGTAAAAATAGGGTAGTTTGTAGTAATCATAGCTTTTGGCAGAAACATATCAGTTCAAAAATCATTTGTCAACACAAGGTTTCATGAAAGTTCATTCCAATATCCGCATATTTTTAAAAGGTCCAGAGTTTCTGCAGCTGAAGGGTTTCATCACTGCTTCTGTGGAGCATTGAGCTGATTGGACTTTGAAATGAAATGTCCACTGTTGCAAAGAATTATCTCAAGCTCGCCATATTTCACAGCTAAGTTTCTAGGTGAAAAAGACTATGACATGCTGGCTAACGGTTAAGGACATTGCCACAGACTAGAGAAGGGACAACCTCATAAGCTTTCATTCTACTGTGATGGGGACAAAATAGAATGTCACCATGTTCCAGAGTTTACAGGACACAAACATTCGGTCATCATTTTGCTGAATGAGCATCGCCATTTGATAAGGACTTCATCTGCTCATCAAGGGCAGAAAG